CATCTCTGAACTAAAGAAAAACAAATTCCCAGTCTCATAATTTGTTCTTTATCAGCAAAGATCTAGTAAGGGAAACCAGCTATAGTTATTTTTTTATTATTATTTTTAACCCTTGGTCAAATAAGCCAACCCTGTATTCCATCCCTGAACTTAAAAAAAAATCTTAATTTTTAACTATCAAATATAGTCCCAGATCTGAGAGTGCTGTTCTTTGCATCAGACACATATGCAGGAGCATAGTCACACATTCAGTTTTCAAGAGGCTGAGGTTTTTGTCCCTGATATAACTAAAGGAGGGCACCTACTAAAAGAAGCCTGGTTTTCCAATAGCAATTCTATCAATAGGAATATCAAACTACCACCGGCCTACCAAGTACTGAGACACCAGGAATATCCTGCAGGAGGAGCAGAGACCACTTCCCATCAGGGAGCAGGGACTGATGGCACACACACACACACACACACACACACACACACACACACACACACAAAATCCCTGGGCATGTGGATTTATCCTATGAAGGCACAGCCAGGCTTATCCAAATACAGAGGAGCCCGGCAGAGCTGCTTCAAGCAATAACAGACAGGAATAATGAAGAACGAGCCAGGCCAACCACAAGGTCATGAGCAAAGCAACAAATTGCAATATCTGGCAAGTTAACATCACCTCTTAAAGATAAGCATTCCAGGCTAGGTCTGACAAGGGAGGAAGCAACAACAAAAGATTAACCTCTTTTGACCAACATGACTGAAGCAAAAACAACAGGGCTAATTACATGTGGGAGGCACTTGGAAGGGCCTATTATGCGTGCAAGGGCTAAATTGATTAATGATATATAAAGGCATAGATCTCTGTAATGGTAGCTTAATACTCTGATGATGTCAGCAGAGGCTGACGAAAGCTTAGTAAATAACTATAATTTTAGTTCCTGAGATCGCAAGATGTGTGTTTCTCATTTTCGAGATAGCTGGGTCAATGTGAATTCTTCCTTAAGTACTCATTCCATTCACTCCACTCTATTTAAATTTTGCACCCATCCAACAGTTTATTTGCAATAGATGACTACTTCTTCTTCTTCTTCTTCTTCTTCTTCTTCTTCTTCTTCTTCTTCT